AAACTCAAAAACAAGCATCGACATATGCATAAGACATTTCATACAATCTTGGCAAAAAACTAAATTAAACTCAACAATCTGTCTGCCAGTTCAGTTGCAGCGACGACGTACTCAACAGTGTCTGTGCTGGGAGTTCTGTTAGCGGTTAGCTATTAGCCGAATACCCGTCCAAAACAAGTGTCTGGGGGTCAGCGATGCACTCAGCTGTCTCTACATTAGTGGCCCCTACCCGCCGAGGGCCGGTTAAGAGTAATGATTGAGGAGTCAGCAGACGGTCAATGGCAGTACAGTATAAAAGAGGCAATAAAAGGTGTATTGAGAAAGTGTGAGTCACTCCAATCACGAGAGGTCCTTGAGCACGCAGCCATGACTGGCCACCCACAACATTATGCTGCCGTCTGCTGCAGCCCAATAAAAGATTAGATACAGATATAGAGGTGCACACACACACACACACACACACACATACACACACACTATCGCACGATTCCCCTGGCGGATATTAATCAAATGAACGGTAAAAATGTGCAGCAAATTCTCAATAAAGTAAATGAATAAATACTATATGAAAAGGAGTAGAACGAAGTATATAATGAATGGAATGTTTATCATATGAACGCTTAAATGATCAGATAAATAATAATATATACACCTATGTCATATTTCTGAATGTCTTGCTGTGTTTAGCTCTAAGTGCTATCTCAGCACTGAGAGCTTTCCATCGTTGAACCACTGGATTGTGAATCAGCTGTAGGAAATGCAATGCACCAAGGTTCATTAAGGTGAGTGGGGCCTTGTGAGTGGGTGACTTAAGACAAATAAAAAAGGTCCACACGACAAATATAACAGTTTCAGTGCTGTTATGTAATGCCGAAACGTAATGCCGCCTACTCCATATATAAGCCACGTGTTGTTATATTTAAAATTCATCTGGTAACATTATGTTACCAGATGAATTTTAAATATAACAACACGTGGCTTATATATGGAGTAGGCGGCATTACGTTTCGTAGGTCAAGGTACAGTAAGTCTATAAAATCTTTCAAGCCACAAGCACAAAAAGGTATAGTTGGGTCAGCAATCCGGTTGCTAGAGTATAGTTTAGGAGCTCATTTGCTGAATTCACTTGGTGTCTTCCATATCATGCAAACATTCAACAGAATGAGTCTTTCAGACATTTACACCATCAGGTTTAGTCAGGAGGACTATTCTTTTACATGCTTAGGCCTGTAGTTTATTCCTCATACATCCTGTCACTCATCATTTTCGTGTCATTGTTCGGGGCTGTCGTTCGTGATATCAACTCTTCTTAACTGTTCTATCCAACAGCACAGCGACACACCTCTATTGTTAGCCTATCACCTTGCTGCTATTTCTTATTGTATCTCTGCCTCTAGTACGTTCATGATTCATCTTACACCTGCCCCTACACCCCCCCCCCCCCAGGTTTTTATCAGCCCTCCTCAGCCTCCCAGTCTCAGTGGAATCATCAGCCACCACCACCACCACCACCACCAGGGTCTGGACTGGATTCATCTTGCTGCTGCTCAGAGCGGACGGCCATCGATTTCAAATCTCCCCGTAGAGTCTAAGCACCAAAGACTTTCTGTCAACTTTTATTATCACACATCATCCGTTATAATAAACAATTACCCTTCTCTTCAATCACTTGTCTCTCCTAATTAAAATGATGTAGTTGTTTTTGGTATTCACTCGCCATCAAAATTGTTGGCACTATTCCTGGTCGACTGCCTTCAGACTTGGGCTAATGCAAGAAGAGACAAAGATGCCTGAACTGATTGCCCGATTCATTTTGATTATAGGACATGATTCTATGAAGTACATTTACGATGCTAGTAGGTATTAACATGATCTTCACAGGACCAATGTGGCCATTAAACACTTTATAGAACTCTCTAGTGTCGTGGCTAAGTTTTCTTTTAAACAAAATATGTATGTTTATTTTCACATGGACAGACACATAGGCATGGTCAATTCACTGTGTAAATCCTAGCATAGGATTTACACTAGCGATTTAACCCCAGCGTTCATAGTCTAAAGGCCTTCACACACCGGGGGCGTGACCTATAAACGACACAAAAATGCAAAATACTCGCCTGCAAATACCAGCAGCGATGTGTTGCAACACTTTTTCAGTAAAAGGTTCGAATAGTTTTTCATTCAGGCAGAGGACCAACTACCATACTACTGACTCAGCGTCTGGCAGTCTGTCTTAGGTATATTGTTGGATATTTTGTTGAGTTTCCTTCAGGGGAAATACTCTGAGTGGGCTTTTATTGTGAAAGGTAAAGGAGTGGATCTGGTGTGCGCTGCCTTTGTCAAGGTCAAAAGGAGTTATAACATTTCCCATCTTGGTTAAGACTACAGAACCTCAGTGTTGTTGTACACTATAGTGCAAGTTTTGAACGTGTCTGCTCCGCACAATGTGATTGGTTGATTCTTGTATTTGCGGTGCGAAAGCTCAGACAAATCAACCTTGTTCTGGATAAAAATTGGGTCTTTTTTTGCAGCGCAATATTCTCGTTCTGTGTGAAAGTACTCATGACAAAAACAGTTTGAAACAATATATTGACGTGCAAAAAAAAGGCCTTAAGGTTGCAGCATTTGTTTCTAGAAGGCTTAAATATCAGACTCTATGGTCAGCTAGTCAAACTCAAAAGTCCCATTTTCCATTGTCCACCAGTTCATCTTCACACAAAGTGGGGATTTCTTAGAATAACATACATGCGGACGCCGCAGTGTAAAAACACAGGCCTCACAATAGCCAAAGTCGCTCTAGTGAGTCAAGCTGGGTCAAAGTGTCCTTGAGCAATGCACAAATCCCCTATGTGCCCGTGGGGAGTCGCTTCGGCTGAGCGTGTCGGCCAGAACGCTGAAACAAAAACGGTACGGAAAAGCTACCGTGTTTTGATTGTTCACTCAGCGAAAGCCCACAAACTCAAGCAAACGGTGGAACACCAAAGACACGTTTAACACAGAGGAGGATGGATCACAACGGATCTCAGGTACTTGGAAGCATAAAACATGTGCGGGCCCTCAAAGTGCTCAAAGCGTGTGTGTGTGTGTGTGTGTGTTTTGTGAGTAACGTGTGGAGACTTTAACATGTGAAGCATTTTCCTCGTGTTAAGCTTACGTACCTTCCCTGATACTCTGAGTCAGTCACACTGCTGCGCTTCCAGCGAGAACAGTAGCGGCTTAGCCACTTGTGAACCTCCCACACATCCCTCCCAACACACTGCCCGACTACAAAGCATCTTTGTTCCTCGGAGGAGACAATTCAAATCTCCGGCTCCGATTTCCCACGGATTTTCTAAATGTAGCTCTCCCTCCGACGCTGGTGAAAGAGTTGGAAGGTGTTGTGTTGTAACCTCAGCATGGTGATTACTCCAAGTAATTCATCCAAACAATAAAAAAAAAAAAAGAGTTGAAGGAAGGAAAGCGTTTTGACCAGTCAAGCAGGCAGTGTGGAGTGTGGTAACACACACACACATGCACACACACACACACACACACACACACACACACACACACACACACACATACATACATACATACATACACACAGCGATGAAAAAATAAAAAAGACACTGTTAACAGGCTTGGAGGCCTGCCTGCTGATGTGCAGTGAGGCATTTCAGCATGTTCGTGGGTTTTTGTGTGTGTGTGTGTGTGTCGGGTCAATATGTGAAAGCGTCAGAGGGCACGGGGGAAAAGTGAAAACCAGACTGCAACAGCAGCCGAATCAGAGGACTACAAACGTCAAAAGTCAAGACCCAGCAGATAGAAGGAGAGTGCATGCACGACCCGAATGGCATACTCGTACCACAGCAGAAGGGTGAAAGAGGAGAGAAAACTGAAAAGAGATTCGGAGCTGTTAGTTGTTATGCCAAAAAAAAGAAAGAAAAATAGTGAATGCAAAGAAAGGGAAACAAGGAAAAAGAGAAGGAAAAGCAAACCTGTGCAAACTGGCTCACACCAACTTCAAGCCCCTCGGGAGAATTTTAGAAACCCCTCCAAACAATCCCGAAACCGTCGCCTCCACCGCAGGGCCAGAACGCCGCGGCGAGGGCCTACTCTCGCACTCATGAGCCTACATTCATGTTTTTTTATTTTATTTACGTCCAGCCGAGCTTCGGTTTCTCGGTGGCCGCATAGATCCCCGATTTCAAGAGAGTGCTTTTTTCGATCTGATGTCAGAAAGATATTTTCGAGTTGGCCCTTGTCCTGCGATTTGGCCCTGCTGTGGGAGGAAAAAAGGGTCAATCGAAAAGCCTCTGCCGACTGCTGCTTTGCTGAAAGGCCGGCAGGCGAGGAGGAGGAAGAGGCGTAAAAAGAACTTGAAGATTGAGAGAAAGAACCAGCGTCCCTGCAGCTCCCAGATCAGCCCTGATCCCAGCATGAGTACAGCATGTGTGTGTGTGTGTGCATGTGTGTGTGAAAGAGAGATCTATGTTTCTGTGCAGGCATGTGTGCAAGTGTATCTGCATTTCTGAGGAGCGGTGTGCACCTGTGTGTATGGGCACATTCGAGTGTGTGTGTGTGCAGGAGATAATGTGTGGAGTAGCATTAGCCAACTCGTGTGATTCTCAGTGTGTGTGTGTGGCGACTGAGGCGAAGTGGATAGCAGGGCCGTCCTTCAATCAGAGGATCGGTGGTTCGATCCCTTGCTCCACTAGTCTCATGTTGATGTGTCCTTGAGCAAGACACTTAACCCCAAAATTGCTCCTGTAGCTGTGCCTACGGTGTAGAATTGTAAGTCGCTTTGGATAAAAGCGTCTGCTAAATGACTGTAATGTAATGCAATGTGTGTGTGTGGTCAGGCAGTGGTCGCATGCTGTTTGAGTGGATTTTCTCATTGTGTTTGATAGGATGTTGTGTGCATCTTCATCATGTTTTGTGCATCTGTGAAACGTCCAACGGGTATGTGTGTGTGTGTGTGTGTGTGTGTGTGTGAGAGCTCGCCATCCGACGGGACTCACCGATGACGATGGTGGTGATCTGGTGCCGGCTGGCGCCGTGCTTGTTCTTGACCTCGCAGATGAAAGTGGTGTTGACGGCGTCGTCCACCTTCCTCACCGTTAACTTGTTGCCGCTCACCTCCACCGTGTCCGGCAGAGCGCCAGACGCACTGGAGGGGGAGGGAGCAGGAGGGTAGAGGAAGGAAGGAAGGAAGGAAGGAAGAAAAAGAGGAGGATGGAAGGAGTAAAGGGAAAGTGAGGTGGGTAAGATGGAGGGAGAGGAAGAAGAGGACAGGAGAAATGTGGGGTAACGGCAGAAAAGAGAAAAAACAGTACAGAGGGAGGGGGAAAAACAGAGAGCGTATGTTTTAAGATATTGGATGAAATAAGATGAAGCAGAAGAAAACAAAAAGACAGGGGGAGAGGAAAAGAAGAGAAAGATGGGAAAAATTTGAGATGAAAAACAAGAGTGATATTCAAAGACAGCATTCATGTGAGCCAAATCACAGACATGTGAACAGCCGTTCTGTCTCCCTGCTCGATCAAAAAAAACAAAAAAAACACGCACAAAGCAAAGCATGCCATCTGTCCATCACGATGAGATGTTGAGAGCGTTTGTGTTTATCACAAAACGACTGAGAAAATGATCATTAAAGAGGAGCTGTGGTCGTGCAAGCTTCTGTCGGGATTATAGCAACATTTAGGAACTCCACAGCTCTCTCTCCGAGGGAGGTGGAGGGAGATTTAAACGTGGACAAATAAAAGATTCTTACGCGGTCCAGGTGACGGTGGTGGGTGCCGGGTTGCCGTTGGCCATGCAGAGCAGCACGGCGTCTGACCGGCCAACGTACCAGTTGTTGTCGTAGCCCTCTATGGACACAGAGGGGGGGTCTGAAAGAGAGAGAGGGATGGGGGATGTTATTTCGATTTCCTGTTAATGACAGTAACAGTCACAACACAAGTGTCCGGCGTCAGTGTCTTCTGTTCTTACTGTTATTTTAACTTGCATTCATCTTGTTTTTCAATTACAACAGTTCGTCAAAGTTGATTGTGTGAAAAAAAAGCCTCCTCTCCTCATCTCAGTCAATATGTGTTGTGTGTGGACCGTGGGCTAAAAACAGGGACGGGCAGGCTTTCGTCTAGATTCTGGCTCGCAGAGATCATAAGACTTTCTTGAGCTTAGCGTCATGGATAATATTTGTTCATGGTGTTCAAGGCTGAATCCTGTTATTCTGTAGGGAGAATCGCCAGAGCGAGGTCTGTGGAGAAGCGGGGCCAAACACACAGAAGTCTTTAAAATGAGGGAAGAACAATTGATTTTATGTTTAAATATGTAGCGTTAGATCCTGGCATCATCTCAAAACGTAAGACCTTTCATAATTATCTCCATCAGCCTGTGGGGAGATCATGCTTTTGGTTGTGCGTGTGTGTGTGTGCATGCGTGTATGTATCTGTCTGTCTGTCCAAGGCTAATCTCGCATACTACATTTTTTGTGGTCATTTATGACTGGACACTCAAGGACTTCTCGTGGTTGTGGGGATTCACATTTAAAAAACAAATGTTATTGCCGTCATTATCTGCTGACTACTCACTCCTCTTAACTGGCCGGTGGGGGCAACGACGTCTTAAGTAGAAAAAGCATCTGCAGATTAATTCCATACCAGATATGTTATAATTCGTCATGAGGCTCGACATGAGATGAAGAAATCAAGAATTCACGTTTTTGATATCTTCACACGACATCTAGTTAAAAACAAAAACAATCAGAAAGCTTTAGAGATCAGCGGGGCTGTAAGGCCGAGGTAGAGGATTGAGAGTAAACATGATTACTGTCTTCATGCAACTCTTATTGTTATATTAATCTGTGTCAAAATGTTGCATAGGTGTGTGTAAGCTACGCTGAATCCTGAGTAAACTAGAAGTTGAGTTACGGCCCAAAAATGATTTAGTGATTTGAAAAAAGAAAATTGTGACCACCCAGAATCTAATCAGTTCATCTTTGAGTCGAGGTGGATGTTTGTGCCAAATTTGAAGACATTCACTTCTCTGAAGGCAGACCTGGGCATTGTACAGCCCGCGGGCCATAACCGGCCCGTTGGCTGTCGCGGGACGTCAATGGGAAATTATGAATAAAACGTAAATAATTGTACAACATGCAGCTGCATTGCTTTTATTTTGAAGGCGACTGCTGCTGTTTTTTATCTCAATTTACATACCTTAGTATGTTCGTGGATGCACACTGCAATCCCAATAATGGCAGTGTCGGCAGCCGGAATCGGGCCCGTGTATTTGGCCCGATTCTGTCGCGTAATTCATCCAGAGTCCCAGCCCGGACTCGGCCCGACGTGTTTCTTCAGGCATGCCGAGCTTACGCCGGAGCTGGGCCCTCATGTGGCCCCTTGGGAAAAATAATTGCCGACCCCTGACTGGCGGTCCTGAGATATCGTGTTCACGAGAATTAGATGGACGTTTGTGTGGACGGAAGGACAACCCGAGAACGCCGGCGTGGAGACATTATAGCCCACCTAGCTGAAAGAGCTTTTCTCCCCCGAAAAATCACAGCACTCTTATAGCGAAAGGAAGTGAAAATCAGTTAGCGTCACTCTCACAAGAGTCTTATTTTACAGTGAAGGCAAAACCAAAGCTATGTGTGTCGGAAGTTAAAACAGGCAGAACAGAAAACGCTTAGCTCTCTTTTCCCTTCGCAGAGAGAGAGAGACTGACAAAGAGAGACGGAGACAGGAGTGTGAGGAGAGGACGGTCTGTGGGAGGCTAAGTGTGCGGTGTCATAAGTGTGTGTGTGTGTGTGTGTGTGTGTGTGTGTGAGTGTGTTTCCCTCATAGAGAGCGTTGACCTATACAAGCTGATCTGAGTTACACAGGGGACAGGAGACACGATCCCTCACGCCATCACTAAACTAACACATACACCGCGAGGAGTGTGTGTGCACGCTCCGGTGCTTCTATCTTTGTGGGGACCAATGTTCAGAGTGGGGACACTTTTGCCCGGCGGTCACCTCGATTCTTAAAACCAGCCGGTTTTAAGGGTTAAAGAGTTAGGTTAACGTTAGGTGTAGAGAATAATACTGCGTGTCTCGAAAAGGGCGTACAGTAAGTACAAATACAGCCCACATACAGACAGCTTGATAAGTGTGATCCCTCAGCCTTATGTATGGTGTATACATCATTTTTATTCGCCCACGCTTGCAAATACAGCACAAACATAGATGCTAAATCTGATCACATACACACAGAGATGCACAGTATGTGTTTGTATGTAACTTTGAAGCCATTAAAGAGAATTTGACAGCTTGATGTGCGGGCTTAACCCCATGTACGAATGTGCGTGCAGCCGAGGGTCTTCTGCTCATCTAGAGGAGTTTCTAATATGTATTTCATGTTATTTCCCGCCGCAACTTGACAGGCAGTTTGATTATGTGTGTGTTTGTGTGTCATCTAAAAAATGCAGATTATAAGAAGAGGCTGAACAAAGACAATTTTTGCGGTAAACGGCAGCGAGGTCACACAATTGAGACACTGCCGCCAGCATCCCTAAATCTCTGTAAAGCTACGCTGCACCTGTCTAATATCTTGATCCCATTAAAATTAATGGATTAGATGAAAGCATTGTGTGTGTGTGTGTGTGTGTGTTAACATGTGCCTTGATTTTCAATACGCCCGAAAGTAAAAAGGTGAGAAGTGCCAACATAACATGCAACTTCCTTTTTTTAAAGAGCTGTTTCTTAAAGTTGGTGCGTAGGCGTAGGATTGGGTGTTAACAGAGGCATCTGTTTTCGTCTGCCATCACACCGAGCGTAATCACAGCATTCTGTCACAGTCTGCTTCAAAATGAACAACTAAGGAGAAACACAAACACCTTGAAGGATGCTGCAGTTAATGCGGTGCACACCACCCTGTTGTTGTGCAGCTAATCACACTGAGAAGGAAAGGTGGATGGATTGCCATACTGGTAGGCTGACTAACGCATGCATGCCATTTAATTTACTACAATTGTATCAGTTGATGGATTGGCTAACTAAGGTCATGTGGTTGTAAAACAAAGGTTTAGAACAACTTTAGCAAAAGCACAGTTGTTTTTAGGGGAGGGATTAAAGGGTAACTTTGGTATTTTTCAACCTGGACCCTATTTTCCAATGTTTTTGTGTCTAATTGACTAATAGGGACAACAATTTCTGAAGTTGGTTCAGTATTCAGTCAAATGCCTGCAAAGCAATCCTATCAGGGCTAGCTGGCACCACCATTTATTTGCACTAAAAGTTTGTTTTTGCCATGACAGGCTCTGATTGTTATTATAATTGTCTGACATTATGGTGAGAGTCACTTAAGAAGAAGTCAATTTGTTAAATCTCGCGAGGTGACAAGTGCCGGAAGACAGGTGGAAAATGAAAAGTGCCAACCGGGTAGTTCGTTTTGTTTGAGAACTGAAAGATGTTCAATGTCATGACTGAATATTTAGATGATTTTGACAATGTGGATGAGGTCTTTGAACAACCTGAGCCTGTCAGTGGCAACATAACGTTACATTGACGCTGCTTACTTGCCCTCGTAGCTCGTTTGGCAGCTAGCTGGCTGCAGCGTTTGCCCTCAATACTGGACCACTTTCAAAATGTTATTAACCATTAGTCTCCTAGACACAAAAACATGGGGGAATAGGGTCCAGGTTGAAACATACTGAAGTTATCCTTTAAGCTCTAGTTCTAGATCTAGTAGAAAGTGCAGCCGATTGCATTATGGCCTGCCCCTATAATAAATCAGTGCAGTGTACTTTACATGCAAAGATTCCCGGGAGACAGCGGCTCAGATTTTTAAAAAAGTAGTGCTATGACGTTGGATGTTACTCTACCTGTGATAAATGCAAATGCATTTCCCACTGTACATTCCATGCATATGATGGTGTGTTCTTGATACTATGGGACTTTCAATCTATTGTTACTTAAGGCCCACTTCTGACCCACCTTCCCAAACATCAGATATTTTATTTCCTCCCCACACGCTTTGGATATTTCACTGGCCCAGGTTTTCTCCCACATCACTTTTTAGTTTCAAAAAGCGATCATTGGCTGACTGTATCAAGGGAACATCAGCTAGCTAACATTGGCAAAACACGCTCGTCTCTACCTGAAGATGTGTCGTGATTGGCATGGTGATATTCAAACAGAACTGGTCATTAAAATAATGAATTGTTTGAATTGCTATTCTTTCTTATTTATGTCAATTCTTCAGAACGTTTTGCTTTAGAAACAATAAACTTTTTAAATTGCCCAAGTTTTTGTATTTTATACTTAATCTAAAAAAAACTCGAAACAATCTCCGAAAATTAGATTGAAAATAAATAAATAATATATTGCAATATATTGAATGGCTGTATCACAATACGTATTGTATCTCAGGACTCTTGCCTCTGCCCTATTGAAGACGGTCAAGTACTTGTACATGGGCCGTTACACAGCCATGCATTAGAGAAAGAATGACTTTTACAACAAATGAACAAATTTGTATTCCTGTGTTACACCCAGTGTTTAAACTATGCAAAACAGAAAATGTGTTCTCAGATTTTACAGCAAATAGACCAGATGTTTTTTTGTTATTTAGATGATTAGAGAAGTGATTTGGAAGTGTTTCAGAAGAGGAGGAGGATGTGTGTGTGTGTGTCTGTGTGTTTTATGCTTGCAGGTGCCTCCCAAAGTACAGGCCTAAAGACTCTGGCGAGGCACTGATCTGTGTCTGAAGTTGTTAACAGTTGGCTCTTTTGGATCCAGCTAAGTTATTTGGATCCTCGATTGGACCCGTGACACATAGTAACAAAAAAGTATCCCTTAAAGTCAGGCATCATTTGTTTTTTATGTCCAAGTGGACATTATTATGTGAACATAAATGTCCTTACATTCCACCGAGAGCTTGACAGGGTAAACCCACGGCTGCTCCTGTGTCCTCTGGTTGACCATGCAGGTCACCTCCCCGCCGTTATCCGCCGGCGTGGGGACCAGCCGGTACTCGCTGCGTACCGTCACCGTGCCGTCCGGCCCGTTCGTGGTGCTGGTCGAGTGGTTGCCTCCGACCAATGCCAGCCACTTGATGGTGGCCGCCGGTTTGCCGTCCACCGCCTCACACTGGGCCACCACCACCGACTTGGAGCCGGCCTGGACGGTCACAACGTTGGCGGAGTTCTTAGGCTTGGCTAGGGGCAGAGGACGGGGGAGGCGGGAAAGGGGGAGGCGGGAAAGGGGGAGAAAGGGTTAGCAGAGGAGGGAGTTCAATCAGTTTTGTTGTGTCAGCCAGTGTGCTCTTAAAATATTCCAAAACAAAGCCCATTGAATGGTAAGAATAACAGCCTTTTGTCTTCGGCCCAATTCGTATGCATGTTTTGACATTAACCAACAGGTTTCCAGTGAGCTTCATCCTCCTAGATTTCTTTGCAGGTGGTCACCCCAATTTAAGAGACAGATCAAACATACCAACAGTTACAGTGAGAGGCTTTCACATTACAGCAGTGATTTGAAAAACATTGCTGTTCCTTCTACCATCACATGAGCTTCGTTAAATCGAACTGGACTCGTCCTACAAAGGGGCAATGTCCATTAAAATTGAAAAGAAAAAAACTACTTCCAACACACTATCAATCAATCCGTAAATGTCAGTGAATTCCATTATTTCGTGATGTCAAGTGTTTCAATTTACTGTTTTTTCCTGCTGGATGAGATTTAGTAGATTTCCCCCATTAATGCCTTTCAATCTGTTTTATGTGGCTGTGTGTTTACAGAGATTTGATGGACATAGTGAAAATTGAAAGACTTAACTCTTCAGGAAAAGTCAGGCAATTACTTTTACTGTTGGTGGAGAAATTGGTCTTTCTGTGTTCTTTGTTGAAAGAAGTCATCACTATCCAAAGTTTATATTTCCATTCATTTTGAAAATGGTTGGACGTTTTCTGCTACTGCTGGGCTGCAAATATCTCAACAAAGTGTCTCTAACCGATTTCTGTGAGGGAGGAAGATTCAATTTCCCCAAACTGATCACTAGGGACCTACGTATCCGCCTGAATCTTACTTCATTTTAAGTAAACACCTAAGCTTAGCCAAGCCAACATACTACTTGTGTTGGGGTTTAAGGTCAAGAGGAGTTAAGTAAAAATGAACTGTCTGGGGAAATCGAGAAGACGTGCTGTCTCAAAAATGTCTTGACGTGTCAGCGCTTGGCAACGATGGCGTTTGTCCCCCCCCGTGGCGCTGATTGGCAAATTGTTAGTCGCTCATTGGATCAATTGTTTTTCATCCAAGAAACCGTCTATTCGTGTCAAAGATGTGGAGCCAGGCATATTTCTCACATCAGTCGATGCATTGTCCGCACAGAGTAATTATAAAGCTATGCTAATGCAGCTGAATGAAAACTGCCCCCCCCAGCCCTTTGGTATTATCAATAGGCTGAATGCCAGAGACTGACAGGGAGACATACATTGTTTCCAAACACAGTTCGCTGTATGAGGTGTGTTTGGTTTATGAAACCAAGCACTTAGAAAGCTTAAAAGGTGAACACATTTCTGGAGAAATCATATTCACCACATACTTTCAATTCAATTATTCAATTTGCATTTTGCTGAGTGTTTTTTTATAACAAAAGATTTGCATTTATAAACTTTTCTACACTCCCCCTTACATTTGCTGGCCTTCCTTCAGCGAGACATTTGCTCTGAAACACTGTCTCAGGGATGCTGAGGACCCTTTGGCGAGGCAGATGCCTGCTCTAACTTGAATTCAACACTTTTCTAAGACTTTTCTTTTCGCCTTGGCAAGCAGCTACAGATCAAGGCCCGTGACTGGAAGATTGCCAGTTTGAATCATAAACAAGTCGGGCATATCTGCCAAGCGTGAAGATTTGTAACCGAGTGTGAAGCCGGCTGTTGTTGAATTAAGGTGGCATTCACATGGGACAGCTGACATCTGTCATAGTCACAGAGTTTGTGTTGGAACCATCCAGACGCCCAGGAAGCTAATTAGTGAAGCCCAGTACTGACCACATTATTACTTACATTTGGCCCACATACTGCCCGGCAATATCAGTGATGAAGCCATTGCAATCTGGCTGCAGGGACACCAACTTAATCTTGGTGGTGTGCAGAACTGGGCCAGACCCCAGCCGCACTGTAGCCTTTTGAAGACCCGGCTTCTAAAACCGGATTACAAGTGGTTTGTTGCACTTGGCCAAGTATGCAAATGCTGCACATGTGGCTCAGAGACAAGCTATTTTTGGATCCCCTTACCATGCCATAGTAGACCCATTTACTTCCTTAACTCAACCAATCTTGACCCAGAATCGTGTCCTATATGGGTTGTGCTAAAAGTTTAAAAACATTTGAAGCAATCTGTACAGTCTGTATCTGTTCAGAGGCTGATGAAGTCCATTTGAACTTCACATTTTAGCAGCCTGGCAAAATGGAAACAAAAATCCTCCAGGTTACTTGCATCAACTACAACATGCAACCAGTGATCAACTAGGTATGAAGCAGAATCATCGAACAATATCTGGTAACACTGAGACTGAGCCTGCAGAGCAGACGTATGTGGATTCAACAGCCCTGGCTGAGTGTTTCCTCCTTCTCTCCCTCCCTAAACATGGATTTATTTACTGCTGTATCCTGATGAAGGCAGCCAAGCGAAGTATTTTTTTTGTGTATTTTCTACTTTGCTGCATACATTAGCCAAAAATCAATAAAGGCTTCTGGATCTTGTTAAATTTTTGAAATTCATGTCTAACCCGCTGCCCAGGTTTGTAAACATCTCTCAGCTTGACACGCTGCTGCTGAATATTTCCAGACATTGTTTGAAAAAACCCCCATCTGTTTGGCTCTCTATGTCTCCTCAATTGTTAACATTACATGAATATTCAAGTAACGCAGGGATAGTTTATAATGCAATTATTCTGCTGCGTGCGTTGTTGTGACAACTCATTATTGGCTGCTAGAAATGTTGACTAAATGCATTCATTTAAGCTTTAGGGTAATTCAGCCGATTTAAGCTTGAGGGCGTTAGCTAAGTGCCTAAAATGTAAGAAGGAGAAAAAAAAAAGAAATCATCATTTACAATGTCACTTTTGTTATGCAAAAACGAAAAGCTGAAAGCACATCATTTTGACTTCTAAACCCAGCTCAGAGTCGCCTCTGAAGGCAGATACAAAAAGCACCTCGAGGCCTCGTGTTTCAAGCCCCTTTGTGCTGCTGCATTTAACTGCATTTCGATTGATTCGGTGCTCCTACTTGAGGGCAAACATAAACTCAAAGCCTTTTTCTTCACCTTCCTCTGTCTGTTATCAACAACTCAACAACACAAAGAATGGCGGAAGCTGTTCCAATTCAACCAAGGTTGTTACGCAGCGATGTAGCAACATCTGTTATTGTGCTCTGCTGACTGACACACTCCTCAGTGAAGGGCTCTGCGCTTGTTTGGTTTGGTTTGGTTTATCTCTTCTAACTCTTGAGGGTCCGGGGAGTCAATACATTTCTATTCAATTAAGATATGGTTTTCGTAAAAGCACCAATAAATAAACTGAACAAATACCGGCTGCGGTTTGTCACCAGGACTCTGGACCAGTCCTGTAATTATTCTTTAACCGTTGTTCATCCACGGAAGGTTTGCTTTTTCGGAGCAAGACCCAGTTTCTCACACTTACAAATATTTTCACCTGGGAGCTGACCTGGAGGCTAAAAACCACATTCTTACTGCTGTTTGCAGCCGAATGGCGCTATTAGGGTCATAAGACTTGAGTAAGGAACGCCTGGAAAGCAGATGTTGAGAAGGAGGAGGGCATCTATTTCTATCAGCAGCTGGATTCAGACTGAGGTTTAAAGTCATACTACTACTTCCACATACATTAATATCTTGGCATGACTGATGCTGAAATACTAAGCTTTGCTGACAAGCTTACCTAGACAGCTAAAGCTTTCACCAAATTTTCCACATGGAAGCTGCGATTTGCAGCAGGAGATAATTTCCTCTCGCATTCTTTTTGACACTATTCATGAATCAAAGCAAAGGCCATTCTAACGATCAATGCATGCGCATGCAAGAGCCCCACAGGAGTGTATCTACAAGATGAAAGCCACAATCAGTTGCTGAACATGACATCGCTACCACTGGTGATCTAAGTGTAAGAAGTGTTTCAAAATGCTTTTGTGCAACAGACTCCCGAGTAACTTGCAGCATTATGGAATACACACTAGCATCTCTGCTCACTCCTCGCTTTTTAAGACTGCGGTAACGTGAGCCTCCTCGTGCAAAACATTGGTGCTAACGCTGCTGGCCTAGCTCTGATGCCATACACACCACAATATACATTCAGACATCGGCTGGGGGTACCGCGGCTTATGTTACCCCAGTTTCACAAGTTTCACTACGGAGGCTTTAGGTAATGTAGAAACGTTAAAGGCTCTCTCTGGAGCCAATGTTTAGTTTGTCCCTTCTGGCCTACCGTAGAAACATGGAGTTGCAACATGGTGGACTTGCCTCCTATGTAGATGTGAAGGACTCATTCCAAGCTAACGAAAACACAACGGTTCTGTTTCAGGTGATTATACGCTAGTGAAAACATAGTTATGAAAATATATTCCATTTCTGCTAATAGATCGCCAAAAAGGCTTCACACTGGCCCTTTAATGTAAACAAGGTGCCAATGAACCTCGAATGATATTAAATATGTTCTTGCGTACTTCACGCTGAAAGAGTTTGAATATGCTATTTATTCTGTCCCTGGTAGGTGCAGTTTATGTTTATGAATAGTTTCAACATTCGAATGATTGCATGAATGAAGAGGATCCAGTTATGTTTAATGTTGTCTAAACTCACTTTTTTAAATGTGACCAAAGCATTTACAACTAAAATGCAGTTGTAGCTATTAAATGCAGTAATATATCTGATAGGTAAGTAAGTAAGTACATTTGACAATAAAGAATTTTAAAGCAAGCCTTTGAATGTTTATTCATTTTATCTGATCAATTTTATGAATGTTCGTTTATCAACTGTGTGTTTATTTATGTGCAAAAAAAATTACAGCATTTTTTCCAGGGACTGTACTGTAATACTGTACTACAAATATATAAATATTGCAAAACTTTCATTAGTGGACCATGAGCTCAATCGCCTTTGTGTTACCACCTTTGGAGATAGATTGTGACATCACAAAGATTTA